GAGTCCCATCAATTCCAATTATTTTCCTGCAATATTTGAAGCCTTTTTTTGCATGCATCCCAACACATGTAGAACCTAAGAAATCGTGTATCCCCATTCATTTCTTTCAAGTCACTCAATTGAACAAAACAACATGACATTGGATTTGTTCTTTTAATTTCTAGCTCATAACTCCAAAGTTTATTAAAGTTCTCTTCTTCATTTCCTTTCAGAATAGTTTTAGCCTTAGCAAGCACTCTATAGGTCTGCCTCTCACTCATATTGAACTTGTCATCATCATGAACTTTTTGTTTAAACTTTAACATCTTCCAATCAGGATTATAATTGATTTCCTTGCTCCACCTCTTGGCTATTTTAGTTGAATTCATCATTCTATTATCGAAAGCCCATGAACATCCATCATGCTTTTGCTCCATCGTTAAAATCCTCTATGACAAAGAGTTTATAACTTTTCTAAGACTTATTCTGAAAGGACACCCCTCTTGTTTACATTCTACAATGAATCTATATTTGTCATTCTTCACAAATTTCAGATCTTTTCCATTTTTAATGGCATAGTTATGAACAGCTTCTTTAAACTCTTGCTTAGAGGCAAATGTCATTCCTAGAGTGAATTCAGGATCATTCATATCTGTACTTGCCCTAAAGTTAGTCCATAATCCACCACTTATCTCACAATCACTATCTGATTCCATAATTGAAGCATCATCAGAAAGGTTAGGGTCAAATACCTCACTTTGCAAAGCCTTACTGCCCACCTCGTTTTCTAAGTTATTTATTAAACCACTATCTTCAACTCCATAATCTATATGTTCATCAAACTCTATGTCATCCTTATTTTGAACATTGTCATCATCACCACTTAGTTCATTATACTCACTGCCCTCAGTGTCACTGTCATATTCAACATTTTCACCTTCAAAGACAAATATTTACAATAAAAAATCAAATCAAATTGTAACACAAATTCAGAGTAGTGATATCACAAATGCAAAAAACAAAAATGGTTCCCACAAAATATGCATAAAGTGTATACAGAAATGGTATTCACATTTGCAGATGAAATAAACAAATGAAAAAGTAAAAATGGTTCCCAAATGGTCGAACTGGGTCCCAACTAAACCCTAATTTATACAGATATGGGTCCAAGCTAAACCCTAAAATATATACAGTCATGGGTCCCAATGAAACCCTAATATATACTAAAGTATTCAAGTTTATCAATATGCTCCCCTAACTGCATAAAAGCATCCTCAACATTCCAAAAAAGCAAATAATTTAACTTTTTGCCAGTGTACTTACCATGTGATGCCCAATCCGATGAAGAACAGCTTCGCTGATGAGAAGCCATATGCGGCATCAACGAACGATTTTACAGCTTGTGTTTTTGTGTTTCGCGCTGAATCCGAGAGAGACACTATAGTAGTCAATTACGCTAGGGTTTTTGTTCTTCCTTCTTCGCAGCTCCTTCGATTCGAACAGAGAGAGACGAGATTGAGGTGTCAATACGGAATAAATATTATATTTAATTATTTTACATTTTACATGGGTTAGAAATGACTAGAATACCCTTAACATAATAAGGGTTGAGTCTAATTCCGGTGTGTTGGCCGGGTTCTTGGTCGGATGGGACCAAATGTGGAAAAAATATTGAAGTTGAGCACCTGTTATGTCCGGAATAAAAGTCGTGAATCCCATTTGTCACCACAAGTGAAGTCGAGGGACCAAAAGTGGAAAAAACTCTTATTATAGGCTAGCCAAGCAGGGGAATGAGCTTGGACAGGATGAACTAGTTGCAAATGGTGTTGAAGGAGCAAGATTGGCATAATAGTAGTAGAACTTGTTCAATGTTCACTTTTTTTTGTATGGAATGTTTAATGTTAATTTTTTGTAAAGCTAAAATGTGGCTTGTTGCTGCCATAGTATGTAGTAGACTGGTAGAATATTCAAACACTGCCACAGTATGCACACTACCATAAGTGAACTATGCCTTTTTTGTATGAAATGTTCAGTGAACTATGCCATGAAAAATCTACTAAAGATGATGACAAAAATTAATTGTCTTTTTTGCCAGAAGTGAACTCTCATTGTGATATTCAAACACCTGCCAGAATAACATATTCAAACATTTTTGTGATATGCCTATTGACATTATTTTAATGTCAAAAATGAATTGCCATTATTTAAATGCCAAAAATTCCAGTATTTAAATGCCTTTTTTGCCAGAAGTGAACTCCCATTGTGATATTCAAACACTGCCACAATACACTGACGATATTTAAATGCAAAAAATGAACTGCCTATTGTGATATGCAAACACTGCCACAATAACATAATAGCATTTAAATATTTTCATTTGTAAGGATTTCATTCTCATTGCAAAGAAAAATATCACAATACATTAGCAATCATTGTCTTTGCAAACTCATACAATTAACCTTAAATCAACATAGGAACATATTCTAAAGAAGAACTATTCTGCTGTAAATTATGTAATAAATAAATTGCTACAAGTATTACACTAAAAATCATCCACATTCTCTTCATTTTCTTAATTTCCCATGATAGAACTTCCAAATCCTTTCGTAGGTGTTTGATTTCATCTTGCAATTTGAATATCACACTTTTCAACTCATGAATTGGCTGATTACTCACATCATTCAAAACTTCAACATCATTAACCAATATGTCTTCTTTCCAAACAAAGAAACCACATCCTCCATCCTGTAAAATAAATATTGTATAAATTCTACTACACAAATGAATTAACTGAACATTAACATCAATAAATTAAACTAATATAATTATAAATTTTTTTCTTTTGTCAGCTATATTATGTCAGTTATACTTGTGAAAATCTTTACTTTAGCATAAGAAATTTCTACTAACTCATTATAATCCAAAATCTATATCTGAAACAAGCACTTAAATCATATCTACTGCCTTCAAATACTTAAAAACCAAAATCCAATTTTAGACAATATAGAATTCCAAAACACACCCACTCATTATACTTTGCAATTCCAATTTTAGACAATATAGAATTTCAAAACACACCCACTCATTATACTTTGCAATTAGGGGATTGGGATTTTGCTATTGGCTAAGATTATTAGACATACAACATATAATTCTTATATGATATAGAAAAGTTCAAACCTTATATCTTTGACACCCAAAATTTTTTTGCTCATTATCTCGTGTACGACACAATGGAGCTTTTAACCCACAACGACAATAGATTGCTGGCTCATAATGGAGATTTGGTCTTAAAGAATTCGATGAAAATGGCGACCCACTCCGGCAGGAAGAAGACATTTCTTGGTGAGCAATAGAGAGACTCCACAATCCGAAGAAGATGAGTGTGATGACTGATCAACTGAGCTCTAGAATGTGAGAAAAGCAGATTATGTGTTGTGAGTTGAGAACGCGAGAGTGCGTAACAGAAATAGAGAGATAGAGGATAAAGAAGAGAAGAATTAGGGCAAGAATTTAATCTGTGTGATTTTATTATTTTCTTTAAAAAAAATTCCACTTAGGAAAGATAGTATGAAATATTATCCACGTGGCGACAACAAAGCATTAACCGGCTGTGTAGGGAAGAAATGGACTTAATTGAGTTATTTTGCCGGTTTAGGGGACTTATATGGAGCTTTTTTTACTTAGGGAGGTCAATTGCACTATCCGGTTCACTTAGGGGCTGATTTGACCCTTTTTTCTTTTTTATTTTATATTTATTTATAAAATAAATAAAGTTAAATATTTAAAGGCAATCCCTAATATGATATTTGGCTATTCTCCAATCGCAAAGACTCCGGCCGCCCTTGTCATTTCTCCGAGACTCTCTTAATCTCTTTTATTGTCCATTTGTTTAGTTGTCCAACAGTCTGCGCGGTCTGACACTCTGACATAGAGAGGGGTGGGCGAAATACCGAATCGATCCGATTCGGTTATGTATATTTCTGAAGTATCGAACGGTTCGATTTTTTATCGAACCGAACCAAAAACTATTCGTTTATATATATATATATATATATATATATATATATATATATATACATATATATATATATATATATATAATCGCACTCAGGTGCGAATATTTTGCCCAGGCGCGAAAGAGGATGGATTCTATCCGTCCACGTGTCCAGATCTAATGGATGAGAAACACTGATTTTTTAAAAAAAATGCGGTGGCATTTTTGTAAATAATTGAACATCGAAATGCAAGTAAAATGTATTACAAGTGCATGTAAAATGTATTATCGGTGCAAGTAAAAATTTACACTGAGCATCAATAGTTAGTTGCACCTATAGTTATAAGTAGTTGCACCTATAGTTCTAAGTAGTTGCACATATAGTTATAAGTAGTTGCACCTAGGTGTATGAATGTTTGCGAGTGGTTTTCAGGGGTATTACTACCCCCTGAACTCAGATCAATGAATGTTAACAAAGCAAAATTACATGCACTTATATGTGAAAGTAGGTGCACCCATAGTTATAAGTAGTTGCACCTATAGTTATAAATAGTTGCACATATAGTTATAAGCACACCCAGGTGCATGAATGTTTGCGGAAAGTAAATGCTAACAAGGCAAAATTACATGCACTTATAGGTGAAAGTTGGTGCACCTATAGTTATAAGTAGTTGCACCTATAGTTATAAATAGTTGCACATATAGTTATAAGCACACCCAGGTACATGAATGTTTGCGGAAAGTGAATGCTAACAAGGCAAAATTACATGCACTTATAGGTGAAAGTAGGTGCATTTGTAAGTGATTTTACTTGCACTTCGATATTCAATTATTTACGAAAATGTCACCGTATTTTTTTTTAAGTTATTAGATCTGGACACGTGTCGCGCACTGATTCGTTCGCATTTCCTTCCTGAGCACTTATTCGCACCTGAGTGCATCCATATATATATATATATATATATATATATATATATATTAATTAATATTAATATTATTAATATTAATAAAATAATACTCCGTAATAAGTTAAACATTCACAACCCTAACTCCCTACTCGCAAACGCCAATACGCCTTAGTCCATATTACTGCCATAGTCAATACTCCGGCACTCCACGCAGCCACGCACTCATTCTCCTCGCCGCCGACCACCTTAGCCCGAGCCCTGAAGTCTGAACGCCGTAGCCTCACCGCCGTCTACCACTGTTGAAGACTGGCCGGCGACCACAGAGGTAAGGGGCTACTTTCTTTTTATTTTCTACAACCTGTACCTTTTCCCCCTTTTAATTGTTTGTTGCCATGGGTTTTACCAAGTTTTGTTGTATGTTGTCCTCTATAGTCTATACAATGAAAAAAAGATTTGATTTTGTTGTCTGGGTATTTTGAATTTTTGCTTCTTTGTATGATTGGTTGAATTTGGTGGTTAACTATAACTTGTTAGCAATGGCTAATTACCTATTGAAGAACTCAAGAACTCACAATTCCATGTTGTCTGGGAACCAGTTTAATGTTTACTGGAATTAAACTGGTTCCCACCATTTTACTGGAATTAAATTCCAGTGAACCAGTTTACTAGAATTTAATCTCAGTAAACTGGTTTACTGGAATTAAATTCTAGTAACCAGTACTGGAATTTCATTCCAGTTTTCAGTATCAATTCTAATGTTATTTCATATTTGATAATTTGGACTATGTGAAAATCGAACCGAATTAATCCCAAACCGAAACTGAACTTTTCCAAATCGAGCCGAAACCGAACAACCGAATGGTATCATTCTCTAATACTGAAACACCGAAACCGAAAATCGAACCGTATCCCGTAATTCCCAACCCTAGTCTGGCAGGCAGCAGAGGGCAGCTGGCAGCGTCAGTAGGTGGCAGCAGGCAGTGAGGCAGGCAGCAACCACGACCAGGCGACCAGCAGTCCAGCTCAGGCGCAGTCCCATTGATTGTCCGGTTCTCCCAACGGACGCTCTCTCTGAGCCTCTCGCTGCTGTTTCTCTAGGGTCTTGACTCCGTCACTCCTTAAAGTCTTGTCGGTTGTTCCTCAGGTACTTTTCGATCGGAGCTCTAATTGGAGAATTGAGTGCCACCCTTCGACTTCATTTGATAATTTCTTTGTGTTTTTTACGAGATCAATGTTCTAGCACTTTGTTTCAGATGTCAGGTTTGAGTTCTTAGTATTTGTAAGGAGTTATTACTGCGAGCGAAGCGTTATTGAAGCGGATTCAAGCTCGGGAAGTGGATTTGGTGCTCGATTTTTTTTGTCTGATCGAGTTGTTGTTAAGTCTGTTTACTGTTTTTGGAGAGATCCAAGTTGAAACCTTTGGATTCTGATCTGGAGATTCTTATCTGATAGAAATATTGAATGCTTATTCACATATGGTGACTTATTATTTAGTTTCATTGGAATTTGAGATTTTTTTGTGTTTTACATATTATACTTTGTTAATTCACCATTATAGTTTAGAGTCGATGTTGGTGTCATGAATGACAATATGGACTGGTGTGATGGCTAAGTAAAAAAAAAAAAAAAAAAAAAACTGGCGGGCAGCCCGTCAAATCACGGGTTGGGTTGTAAATTCCAACCCGTATAAAAAATTGCCCGGCCCTACCCTGGCTGTTTTTGGTCGAACCTGAGATGGGCCGGGCTGGCCTGTTTTGACAGCACTAATTCCCAGTGGTGTTTGAATATTTGTTAAATAATATATATATATATATATATATATATATATATATATATATATATATATATATATATATATATATATACACACACACACACACACACACAATCAAATTGTTGTTATATTTTATAGTGTGGGGGGTTGAATCTATAGTTTTAAATGAATCGTATCAATAGTATATTATGTACTTACCTTGTTTAGTTGTTTATGAAGTGCTAATTTGCTGTAATAATCATAAGTGTTGATTCTTACGGTTGATTAAGTATTTGTTGTTACTGTTATATTATTCAATGAAGTGTTGGTTCTTAGTGTTATAATATTCAATGTTAGATACTTAGATAGTTAGACGTTACCTTGTTTACTTGTTTATTCATTGTGTAAGAGGATTCTGAATAAGAAGAGATTATGCTGAAGCCATTACTTGTTTCATTTTATGTTTGAATGCTATTATGTTTACATTGTTGTTATTGATGGATTTTCAAGACATTGTATTAAACTTATGTTAGATTTTTGTATTATGAACTTATAATTTTGTTGTTGTTAAACATGTGTAGTTGTGTTGGATTTTTGTATTACGGACTTTTGCTTTTGTGGTTATTAAACTTGTATTGTTGAATTTTGTATTATGACCTTCTACTTATTAAACTTGTCTTGTTGGATATTAAACCCTTTTCCACAAGCCCTACCTTAAACCTCTCCTGAATACAGGTATCGCCCAGCTATGGAGAACGATAGAGAGGTGGCGCTTCGCCGGCTGAAATCATCAGAACCACCACTCTACCTTTCACCGTCGCCGGAACTTTCGGTGGCCGCACGATTAGCTTGCAAATATCTCTACTCTTCCCTCAAACCCTTCACCCCGAAGTCTCCTTTTGAGCAACTTCTAACCGACGGGTTTGATGCGGAGCAGATATGGCAGCAAATTGACCTCCAATCGGAGCCTTTACTTTCAGCTCTCCGGCGCCGAGTCAATCACTTCGAGAAGAATCCGGAAAGTATATCAGAACAATTCAATGTGGAACCAAATGGGTTGGAGAAAAAGAGTGGGTCACTGGAAGCGTTAGACAGAAAAGGATATGATATTGACGATGTCGACTTGAATGATTTTGACGAGGATGAGGATGAGGAGGGGTGGGAGGAGGAGGATAATGAGGATGAGGATGAGGATGAGGAGGAGGAGGAGGAGGAGGATGATGGAACTGGCTTGGTTGAAGATGAGTTCTTAAAGATAAAGGAATTGGAAAAATTTTTGGCTGATGATGAGGCAAGGGAGTATGGTTACGAGAAGGATGAGAAAGCCAAGAAAAAGAAGAAGAGGAAGAGAGTTGAACAATCAGAGTCTGAGGAGGAAAATGCAGAAGAAGAGGATGAAGCGGTATGAATATTTATCCCCCGGTTTGAACTTTGATTAAAATTTGAAGCCTTGCTTAAAGATGTGTGCTTTGGAAGACTAGTACTTCTTATGCTTGTATTTATTTTTGCAGCTTGAAGATGTGGACCTTGAGGATGATACCTTTGATGCAAATGGGGACATAGAGAATGCCAGGTGCTGCAAAATGAGTTTCCTTAGTTTATATGTTATGTCTAACTGTAGTAATATTCATGTGAAATTGTGCATAACCATTTTTGTCACTCAATGCTTGCACTTCTCAATTCTGAAATTCTGAAGGGGCTTTTTGTAACTACTTTGTATGCTCAAGTAGCGGGCCAATACTTCAAATTTACTCTTTTCCCCAATGTCTTGGCCTCCTCTCTGACCCCCCACCCAGTTCCCTATTCCTGATTGCAAGTGTTCTCCTTGTCAACCCAACTCTTTGTTTAGACCCACTTCTCCTTAAATGTAAAATTGTAAATCACTTAATTGCTTCGAGTAGCTTCTTCGTTGGACGAAAAGATTTATCGTCTTTTCCAACATATCGTCCTTTATGTTCTCATTCCATATGTGCTTGGAGTTGATGTCTCACTCCTTGGATTGCCTATGCTCTAGTCACCCCCTTTATCTGTTTGTTGGAATAATTAACTCGACTACTTATTTGGTGGTGATTTTATTTAAATATTTAAATTTCCCTGCAAGCATGTTAGGTGAAGTTACTATCATTACTTATCACAAAAAGCAGTTCTAAAAATATACTGAAAATTATGTAGCAATTTTTATTTATTCTTCTTAGTGTAATTAGTGCACTTTGTGTCAGGAGTCTATACTTCAGTGTTTAGATGCATGGGCTGATATTTGGAGGCTATGTGTCGTACACGTCTTTTTAAACTCTTATTTTATTTTTTTGTGACTTGTGAGCACTGTCTTTGTATCATTCGATGATATTTTTTGAATTCGATGATATTAATTTTTCAAAAAAGGAAATGTTAGTGAGATAACCGTGCTCTGTACCTTTATTTTCTCAATGTTAAATTGAGCTGTCTTGGATTTGGCATGAACCCCTCTCTCCTAGATGTAACCTATAATAATTCGTGTTTCATTAAAAGGCCATCGTAGGCTTACCCATCTTTTGGTCTAAACTGTGGCTTCAATTGATGTAAATTATGTTCTACATTTATTTCAATATTTTGTAAAAAGAAAACAGGGAAAAATTCAGGTTGACTTTCATTAATTGGACTGAAAGCCTATTGTTTAGATGATATGGGGGAAAGGGAGGTTTTTTTGGGGGGTGTGGGGTGTGGGGTGTGTGGCAACAGTTAGACAAGCTCTCCATGTAGACCTAATAATTCAAAATTCTGACTAAAATAAAAACATATGTTAGGAGTATAAGGCTACCACAATACACGCTTCTATAGCTCTAGGGTCATAGTCATTGGAGTATCAAGAATCGGAGAATCTGTGTTCCTAGAATACAATACTCTGTTCCAAATTCAACATGGGGTCACAACTTCTTGATGTTACACATATATGAGCATGGACATTCACTTAATTAACCTGTGCTTACATGGTTTATAGGTATGAGGATTTCTTTGCTAGAAAGACGGATCACAAGGGAAAACGTAAACCACTTGATAGATCTGATCACATGGAAATGGATGAAGAAGTATCTGATGACGATAACCAGGTAGTGCATTCAATTCCTCTAGTTGAAAAGGAGATTCAATAATATGGTAGTGCACTCTATTCCTCTAGGTGAAAAGGAGAGTCAATAATATGGAATCTATATTTGAGTCAATAAATTACTCAGCCATGTCTATCTTTTTCTGGCAGGGGAACCAAAATCTTTCTACCCATGAGCAAGAGCTTTTAAAACTTCGCTCTACAATAGAGGAAATGGAGAAGGCAAACATAGAACCAAAAGCCTGGACTATGCAAGGAGAGGTAAACTAGTTCATCTATGGTTTCCTTTAATATAAAATTATAAATAGATCTATATGCATCACAAATTGTATCAATTGACTGTGGTCTATAATGCCAGGTAACTGCTGCTAAAAGGCCAAAAAATAGTGCATTAGAGGTTGATCTAGATTTTGAGCACAACGTGAGACCTGCCCCTGTAATTACAGAAGAGGTTACTTTGTCTCTAGAAGAATTAATTCGAAAACGGGTCCTTGAGGTGATTATCATTGCATATCTTATCTACTCTATGTTGTTACCTCAGTAAGCTATTTATCTTTGAAATAGAATCAATTCTTTAGATTGTTGACATTCAAGTTTGTTTTATATCTTTTGGTTGCTATATTTGTATGGTTATTTGTTTTCTTTTGAAGTTTGGGGGTTTGACATTCTGAGCCCTTATAAGAAACTAAAAAGGTTAAATATGAGAGGAACAACTAATATTCAAGTGTTTTCCACCCTTTTTTGTAAATCTGCAGGAACAATTTGATGATGTTCAGAAGCCTCCTAGTTTGCCATCAAGAGCACCGAGAGAGAGAAAAGAAGTGGTAATTTGTTTTTCCCTGGAATAATGCTTTTTTTTTTTTTTTTTTTTTTTTTTGGGTGGGGGGGGGGGGGGGGGGGGGGGGCGTATTCTATCAGTGTGCTTCTTTCTGGATCCTTTAACAAGTAAAAGTGATGTGAGAATCTGTGACCTTTTTTGTTTTATTTTTTTTTAATGCAGGATGATAATAAGAGCAAAAAGGGCCTTGCTGAAGTTTATGAGGTCAGTTTATTAAAATTTGTCTTGTAAAAGTGGTGCTAGAGATGTAGTAGGGCATTATTTCTGATTATTAACTGTTTGTTTTACAATTCACTGATGTCTATTGATTACTAATGCAGGAGGAATATGTCCAGAAGACTGGCCTTGTTTCAACAGCAATGACTTTTTCTGATGAGCAAAAGAAAGAGGTGTGAACTATTTGCTGCTCAGATTTTCCTTATCTTTCTTTCCCCAACAGGAAGAAGTCTACTAGAGTAGTTTTTGTCCTCTCATATTACATATCTATATCTTTAAAGTCGACTACTTTTATATTCTTACGGCCTGTTTGGTTCGTGGAAAAGAATTGAGGAAAAATTCTCCTAGACTAGATAAATATTTTTCAATGTTCTACAGTGACATTTGCCAGAAAACTATTTTTTTTTTGAGAATTTTGCCAGAAAACTATTAATCACCAGTTTGGGGCAAAATGTGAAATAGGAAAAAGGATGTGAGCACCTTCTCTTCTTACCTGAATAGAGCTCAGCTCTGGGGAAGAAATCCACAGCCCAAAGAAAAATGCTGATGAATAAAAGTGAAAAGCTGTGAATTACTGACTACTTTTGTACGTGTTCACAGGCAACTATGCTGTTTAAGAAACTCTGCCTGAAGTTGGATGCATTATCTCATTTCCATTTCACACCAAAACCGGTAAGGCTATAGACTGGTCTAGCTTTGGCAATAATTTGTTGTATATGGACTATGATGCAGTTTGTTTGTGCTTATATGGATCTCTATGTATCAACTCAAACAGGTCATAGAAGATATGTCTATTCAAGCAAGTGTCCCTGCCCTTGCAATGGAAGAGGTAATCTATTGCTTTGTACTTACAATTTTTTCCTCATCTCATAGGTTATCATACTTGCATTGTTTCAAATTTGTTGTGTCATTTCATGGTATTGGTTGCATGGCAGATTGCACCAGTGGCTACTTCTGATGCTGCTATGCTGGCTCCTGAGGAAGTTTTTACTGGCAAAGGAGATATTAAAGAAGAAACAGAGCTGACACAAGACGAGAGGAAGAGGAGGAGAGCGAAAAAGAAAAGGAAATTCAAAGGTGAGTTTTCAAATGGTATTTCTGATATTTGTTGTTGATCCCAAATATGAAGATCGAGATTTCTTTATTTTTTTAGTAGCCCTTTTGTTAAAAAATTGATGATATTACATACTGCCCAATATTTCTGAGTCTATGGAGAAAAATTAGAAAATATATCACACCCCTTAGTGTTGTTTCCAGATTCATTGATCTAGATGTGACTAAGTTTGGAGTTATATTTGCTTGATTTTTTTTATTTTTTTTTTAATATGTTGCTTTGCACTTTCATTGGCTAGTAGGTTTCTGTAGTTCATGTTTTGATCTGTCAAGGAATACGATATGATGTTATTTAATTGTTTTTATAATTTCTTCTGTGGCATCTTTTCACTCTGTAGTTTTCCTTCACCTAGCTTATAGTTTGTATCCTAGCTTTTACCGGTGTCTTGTTGGCTAATTACTACGTAGATTATTATTGTTGCAGCTCTTTATTTTCAAATCTCTTCACTAATTGTTTACATGATCAATGGAGTAGAAATCAACCTCATTTCTTTATTGCATGGTTTCATACCCATGAATCTACTCAAATATATTATTCAACTTCATGTAGATTTCTAGACTGGCAGTGTACAATATTGTGTACTAGATTTCACTTCATTTCTTGAAAATTGAGTGTGCATAATAATTTTTCAGCCGAGGCATCGAACAGGAAGGCACCTCAAAATACCTCGAAAACAGATTCCGAGAGTGAGTTCTATCCTTTCAATCACAACTAAGAAGCTTTTTCTGGGTTTTCTTATTTTTATTTTTATAATTATTATCAGCAACAGTTGAGAAGTAAAACATTGATTTTGTGATGCCTTGAAATAGCAGGCAAGGAAGTGAAGGAACAATCATGACTGTACTAGGGTTGTATTCTAAGTTTGCTGCTCCTTGAGAACAATATGCAAGTTCAAGCGAGAATTGGGCAACGCGAAGGAAGGTATAGGATTATGAGGCATTATAAAAATATAGTTTTTGTTTCCCGTACACAAGGTTATGGAGTATTGATTTATTGCTATTAGTTAATTACGGTGTATTTCTATTCTTTGAAAATATGGTTTTTGACTGATGTTTAAAAAACATTTTACTAAAATTTTCCTGGAAAGGAAATCCACAACTTATCCTTGTAGGTCATTTTCCCACCTTATCTGGTTAATGGTTATCACCAAGCACTTGGGGGGGGGGGGGGGGGGGGGGGGTAGTTTAGTTCGGAATGCTAGGTTATTGGGATGTTGTATTGGAATTGTGTTTGGTTAATATTAGTGTATGTTATATTAATATGTTTGGTTGTGTTATTAGAGTTAATTTCATTTTTTGTCTTAGATTTATAGGTGAGACGGTCTACTTTATTAGTTTAAATATCATTAAATACAAAGGTATTTCGGTCTTCAATAATGAATTTTTTCAAAAAATATAGCCGTCCAACATACTTTGCATAAAAAAGATTGAAATACATTTGTATTTAACAATTTTGTGGTGGTTAGTCTACTTTAATGGTTATGTTTGGCAAACCAAAGGTAGTTAAAAGTTGAAAAATGGCTGAAAGCTGAAAATTGAAGAGTTGTTAAGCTAGCTGATTATGTTAAAAGTGTTTGGTAATATTAATATTTTGATAAGCTGATAAATGTAAAAAAAATTAAAAATTACATTGTCATAAAATTTAAATAATTTTAAATTTAAATATGTTTTTGTTTACATATTAAAATTTAACATTTTGAAATAAAATTATTTGTATAATTATTATCTAGCATCTCATAATAAATGAACAATATTGTTATTTGAGAGGGGTAATGATGTTATTTATTTAAAATAATAATCATGACGGAAGAGGATGCATAAAAATATATGAGAAGAGAAAAGGTCAAAATGGTTTTAAAATAATGTGGATAAGGATAAAGATAGAAAAAAAAAAGTAGAAGCATTACTAAATAAAGCAAGCTCTTATTTTAACCTATTAGTTGATTTTAGGATCATTACCAAATAGAGTTTATATAGCTTATTAGTAGTTTAAGATTGCTTCGTAACTAATTGGGCAGGCATTTCCGCATTTCTTTAACAGATAACCGTTCCTTCAAACAATAACATAAACATTGTAAAATTTTAAGACGCGCACACACACACACATGCGCGAGTGCATACACAACATATATATACGTGCGTGTTTATTTTGATTTAGTTCTTATTACAAAATATTTGTTTAAACTATTACAAAATCATATGTCTCATTTTATGTGTGATTTAATATGAGACTTAATTAAAGTTATTTTTAACTTAATTTTTCATAATATTAAGATTAATATTTATTTTTAACTTAATTTTTAATAATATTAAGATTAATACTGGTCATGTATTTATTTAGAAACTACATAAAAAAATACTGTTAAACCAAAATTAAATTTGAAAATATTTTAAAAAATAAGCAAAAAAAAAAAAAAAAAAAAAAAAAAAAAGAGATACAGAGTAATTGATTTAATTAGTGAATAGTAAACATAAGTAAAATGAGACATAGGGAGGTAAATAGTAAACATAATAAGTAAAATGAGACATAGGGAGTATGTAATTTCTGGTTCGTTTCCATTTCTATATCTCAACCAAACTCTCTTAAATTGAAATTCCCATAACTCTATACATCAAGTCTGAATCCTACAGACGTGTATAATGTTTGGAAGCATGTCAAGAATTGTCCCCTCAATTGTTTTTTCTTCTTCTTTTTATTTGATAAAAAAAAATTATGATCCAAACATGGATTAAAAGTTACAATCAATCTCATACGATAATATAATAAAGAGAAAAATCTAGACAAACAACAAAACATATCCCATCGCCCAATGCATATATGTGTTGGTTTTACGGCCTAGGGTAGTCGCACGGCAGGCCAACACTACCGTAAAATATTTGAAGTGGAGAACTACAAATCTGCATGGTTCCATCTATAACTTATAATTGATTTCATAGCTTCAACGTAATTATGGTCTCTAATACATCAATGTTTCTCCATTATTATATTGATTTGTGTTTAAGAGTATGACTGGGTATGATGATATTGTGTGTTTTTTACCTGTTAGTTCTTGTCCGGAGGACAATCTGAAGTGGAAGCAACATTGAATCTCAACGCAATGAATCAAAGTCCAAACCCATGGCATGTTTCCTTCTCATACGCACGAGCACTGCAGAACGTACTCCGTGCTGAAGGTGTGGAAAGGGCAGCCCGAGAATGTGGAAGCTGCACAGAAGGCGCTCTTGGTTCGTGCAAAAGCTAACTCCTTAGCACAGCTAGGGAAGTACTCTGGTGATGAAGCTAAGACCGGAATGTTCGTGAAGGGTTATACCTACTAAGCAGCAAGTTGCGGTTTTAGTAGAGTTGTATCTTGACTGCTGAGACAGATTAAGAATACATGTTGTTTTTCTTTTATTAAGTTTCTTTTTGGTCTTGAGATATGTTCCTCTAGTAATAAATCGAGAAGTTTATTTGTAGAAATGTAACCCCGAATGGGGTTATAGTTTAAAGTTAGAAGCTATTCTATTTGAAGAGAACTTCATCCCCTATAGTAATGTGATGATTTGATTTTAGTTTTAGTTTATTTATGGAATTTCATTCTGATGCTTAAGTCAGAATCAGACTTATGTTTGGAACTATTTACTGCTGCTGTTATTATTTTTTTTTTTCTTTAAAGCCAAACCAAACCATTTATATTAACTTCTCAAACTTGTAATGGACACGAGGTCCAAAAATGATATTAATCAACTATGCAAATTCCAAAGTGCAACCATGCCACATTGCCACCAACAGAATACACTCCTTTAAGCAGCACAGAACTGGCTGTTAGAATTTCTTATGAAAAACCCACAGGCAGTTCCATCTAAAGATACACCACACTTGACCTTCATCAAGCCCTTCTGTGCTCTCACCCAACAATTCTCTGCCAACCAAAACCTTTAGCTTTTTTCATAATCACTGTCCAGTTGGGGGGAACCATCTTCTCATTATACACTCAGTTATTCCCTTCACCACTTTAAAGATGATTCTATTAACAGAGCATCTGCCCCCCATATTTACAGTTAGTATACTGTGTCCACAGCTCCCAAATAATCAAAATTCAAAAAATTTTGGTTAACTGTTTTTTAATTGAAATACTTCACTTTGGTCAATGGTTAAAGGTTTTCATAAAATTTTAATTATGGGTTTGAAAATACTGGTTAATCGAAAGACAACCCATAAAACCAGTTTGTGCTGCGAACTTGGTCGAAAGCAAACGCCGCAATAGGATGAACGATATCAGCGTCCATCCAAGAATCCAGGGCGGCAAGTGTGCCCAAGAAGAACGAAAAAGCACTCCCCGAAGAATTCAAGTTGAAAAATGGATTGAATTGGATTTCGAAAGAATTGTCGCCCAAAGTGGAGGAGGCTACCAACGAACCTGCAGGCATAATAGCTTTGGTAATCCTCCGAATTTGCAATCTTCCGTCTGTGGGGTATTGCAAATGGAAGCCGCTCATGTTCCTTATTGTCGTCGCCATTACCAGCCGATTATGTTTCTTGCAAAGGAGAGAAGAAATTACAATAAGCAGAGACTGAGAAGAGCTGAGCGCGCAAAGCAAAATAGAATTAGGAAACTCACCCTACTCTACTATAAATAAGTTGCGCCGACTTTAAGCCCCAACGGCAAAATTAAACTAGGCATGATATTAATTCCGGTTTTTTTTTTTTCAAAAAAAAAAAAATTTAAATAATTAATTTTTAAATTTTATTTAAAAAAAATAATTTGGGAGGATAACTTGTTGACCTGTTAGAAACCTACAAATTGAAAGAATTGTTTCAAATTGATTAGTCTAGGGACTCAATTGTTGATTTTTTTAGGTTCAATGGACTAATTGCATTATCGTGTACAGTTTGATGACCTATTCGACCCTTATTCCTATATTCAATGCTTAAAACGGCAACTTTTATGAAGAGTTAGCGTATATATTGCAACAGTAAAAGATTAAAGACTAAAACCGCTAGCAAAAAATAATTGAGAAACTAAAACTGCTAGCAAAGAACAATCGAGGACTAAAACTGCATCTTTTCCAAAGTGTAATTATACCTAGCTTGCTACTAGTAAGTTACTAACAACTTATTATTGAGTTAATGTTGAAGTATACTTTTATTATTATTTTTTTTTTTTGTGAAAACACTTTTATTACTTATGAAATTACTATGTGAACTCCCAAGTTCTACTCTTGAGTGCTACTTTCACTTTCAAATTCTAGAGGTAGACATTTAACTTGGACCAACATGATGAAAATAAGCCATCTTGTTTAATTTGTCACATCAGAGAGTAAAATTGACGGAGTAGAATTTGGATATACATGCAATAGAACTATATTACTTATTCAAAATTGATTTAAGGATAATTTGTCCGTTTAAACAATATTTTATAATTACAATAAAATTTTTAAAGACCCTTATAGTTCATATATGAGTAAATACCAGCCCTCAACTATTTAAAATTGTGTCTAACTTGATTTTTTTGGGTGGACTGAACCTTATAATGACATTAAAGCGAACATACTTTCATAGCTTTTATGGAATTCCCCGGCGAGTTAGGTACATATGATGAAAAGAGAAGCTAACTAATCAATTGGGACTCTGGGAGCCAATCACTAAAAATTTCTCTAGCTATCTTCACTTATTAGAGTTAATTCCATTTTTAGTCTTAGATTTATAGGTGAGACTATCTACTTTAATAGTTTAAATATCATTAAATACAAGGGTATTTCGGTCTTCAATAATGAATTTTTTCAAAAAAAATAAACATAAAATTATAGGAGTCCAACTTACTTTGTATAAAAAAGATTGAAATATATTTGTATTTAACAATTTTGTGGTGGTCAGTCTACTTTAATGGCTATGTTTGGCAAACCAAAGGTAGTTAAAAGTTGAAAAATGGCTGAAAGCTGAAAATTGAAGAGTTGTTAAGCTAGCTGATTAGGTTAAAAGTGTTTGGTAATATTAACTTTTTGATAAGCTGATAAATGTAAAAAAAAAAAAAAAAAAATTGATTTTTTAGGTTCAAGCCCTTCTAGCATTGTCATAAAATTTAAAACCTAGGTTCAAGACCTAAAATTGTTGATTTTTTAG